ATTCCTATTATGGATATTCAGTTACTGAAAACTATGATGGCATTTAGACCATGGAAATTGAGTGCATGCTTTTTGCAGGCATGAACAAGAAAAAATGTTTTGGAAATATGAAAGGTAAGAGAGTGCTAAACTGTGGTCTACAGGACACCCAGATTCTTCTCACAAATCTTATTGATGAGCTAGGTATGGCCTACCTTATAACTATACATGTATGTTTTCCTGTCTAGAGGCAGAACCTTACATTTCTTGCCATTGAACAGCATTTTGTTGGATAGAGCCCACTGTTGAGCCTACCTTCTGAGGTGTTAGCAATCCGTCATCCATTCTCCTGTTTTTCTACCAACTTCAAGACTTAATTCCAGCCAAGGAAAGTACATGAAAAGGGATACAGGGGCTTAGTCTTGACTCCTAGTGATATCACTGCATTACTGCTATCTCCTCTACAGGTTTCTGGAATTACAAGCCACATACAAAAATCCCTGTTTATTCCATAGTTGCATGGTGCAGGGCTTGGCACAGTGGTTAAAGTGTAGTATTGCAGGCAAACTCTGCCCACAGCCTGGAGTTCGATTCTGATGGGGCTCTAAGTTGACTCAGTCTTCCATCCTTCCGGAAGTCAGTAAAATGAGGACCCAGATTGTTGGGGGCAATATGCAAATAATACTTCTACATTGTATACTGCCCAGAGAGTGCAGTTTACTGTGAGGCAGTATATACGTCTAAATGATATTGCTATTGCTGTTTGCCAAACAGCAATATATGACTCAAATATTGTAATGGAAGTGATGAGTGTGTGTGTGTGTAGATGAACATGAATATATTGGGACCAGGGAGATGACTAACCTGGTATGATTCTGATCCAGATTGCTATTCATACATGCTGGAATGCCCCCAAAGCCAGTGGTGAAATGTAAGATTTGTTACTACTGGTTCTGTGGGCATGGCTTTGTGGTGGGATAATGTGACTGGGTGGGCATGGCCAACTTTTTTTTTTATCTTTTAAAAGCATTTTTTCTACAACCTTAAGAAGTTGCAGAAAAAAATGCTTTTAAAAGCCTCTGACGATCCCAGCTGAGCCGCGCGATCATCAGAGGCTTTTTTTTTTAACTTTTAAAAGCATTTTTTTGGCCAAGAGGTTGTAGAAAAAATGCTTTTAAAAGTTAAAAAAAAGCCTCTAATGATTGTGCGGCTCAGCTGGGCATGGGTGGGACAGGGATTTTTGCTACCAGTTCTCCGAACCACCTGCCGCCATCACTACCGGATCGGGTGATCCGGTCCGAACCGGGAGCATTTCACCCCTGCCCAAAGCCATTTCATTTAGAGTAAAAAATGACTGTGTTGCACAATAATAGAAAATTTTATACAGTCTGCTGTGACAAAATTTCTATCATTAATCTGTCAAACATTGCTAAAAAAATGTTTCAGTATTTCATATCTGAAGTAATTGAATATTATCATTAAAAAAATAAAATGTCTTACTGCATACCAAGAGATTTTATGCACAATGCTGGAGAAATACTGATATAGCCACAATGGGGGAGTGGGCTGTGAAGATGGCAGAACTTGCAGAAATGGCAAAATTGACCTGTTTGATCCCAGAAGTACTTTTATAAAAGACTAAAAACTTTTTATGGACATTTTGCTGAAAATGGGGAAAATGAAATGGTGATTTCTGGATTTGCTAAGTAAAAAGGGTTGAATATGGGACAGAGGGGAACTATGCAATCTAATCTTAGAGAAAAGGAGGAATAATAAGTTTGTAACAGCTATAAAGAAGATCACAAGCCATTTCTTTAATTGTATTTTTTTTGTTTACCTTTTTATTGTCTCACACAGTTTCTTTTATCTTTTCCTTAATTTTCCTTTATATATGTTTTCATGTAAAATTTTTAAATAAAAAATATATCCAAAATGCAAATCATGGTTAAAATCCAAGTAATATATGAATATCAACAGCAAAAGTCAGCACAGTATAAAATATAAAATGAGATTAAGATTTACAATAATTTCCGTCTCAGCAATTAAAAGGTCAAAGAAACCCAAATGTTAGATGATGGATCCCAGTATTAACTGGCATAATCTCCAAGGCAGGGAATTTAGCTCCTTTTCCATTAACAAAACAGAGCATTTTCTAGATTTACTGCATGCTCCTGTAATGGAATCTCCCAAAACAACTCGATAACAAACTAGATTGCATCAGGGATTTTGAGGTCGGGGCATAAGCTCTGTTGCTTTGCTAAACTGTTGCAACACAACAATGTTTTTACCACAGAAATAGTTTGGGAAATTTTAATTAATTTATATGCATTGTGTACTGTTTTGAGGCGCCTTTTCTCATCCTTTAACAAAAACGTCTGCTCAGTGTTTCTTTCTGACAGTGCCATAGGACCTGTTTTATCATTAACTTATAGCTCGCTGCAAAGAAGCCTTTTATTCCTGGTACTCCCTCGATGTGTTGGACTGTAATTTCCATCATCCCCAATCAGTACAGCACAGGGATAATGGCAATTACAACCTGACATATCCAGAGGGCATCCCAATGGAAAAAATAAAATAGTTTTCAGATTCACTGAATGCCACCTTTCTTCCTCCACTACTGTGCTATCAACTTTGCTGCCATATATTTGAAACCTAGAATATCTTATAAATTAATTGTATTTTAAGCCTTAGATCCTGATATTTAGATCCTTATATCCTTCATCCAATATGCACCTCCCTTGTCTCCAATCTTTGTCTTTAGACCAGGGATGTCAAACTCACATCATCACGTTGTCATCACGTGACGTATCGGGACTTTTCCCCCTTTCGCTAAACCTGGATGTGGCCAGCATGTGATGTATCCGGCCCATGGGCAGTGAGTTTGACACCCCTGCCTTAGATCTTTGTCCTTTATCTGACCTTTGTCTTTTGTTCAACCTTGCATAATACAGATTTCAACAGAAGAGAATACTTGTAGCTCAGGGTTGAAATTCCTGGTAGTCTCTGAACTTGGCTGCTTGCTTATAGTTGTTTCATTACCCAACTAGTAACACCATCAGTACTGAATGTGAACGCAGATCTCCCCATCACTGCACTTCACACAAAGGTGGGATTCACTTACCTTCCCTACCAGTTTGCAAATGTGCTTAACACATTGCTTAACACATTGTAAGCCGCTCTGAGTCTCCGGAGAAGGGCGGCATATAAATCAAATTAAAAAAAAAAGTGTGTGCTTGCTTCACTTGCATGTCACCTCTGCGCATGCGCACAACCTTCTGTGCATGCTCAGTAGTCGCACATTACATCCAGGCGGGTGGGCGGAGCCACCTGCAGTTGCCGTTACTGGTTTGTGCGATCCGGACAGAACCGGCTGAATCCCACCACTGACTTCACAAGCATTTAAGGTGTATTATTTTTTACATTCTTTCTCCTGTCTCTGTTATATAAATGGTAACAGAAGCACATGTTAAAGTTCAGAAATTCTTCAGGTTATGCCACTCATAGGACTTCATAGGAAGGAGGCTACTCTTGACATTTGCTAATTGTAGCTCAGGAGAGAGTTACTTTTATGGTTACGAATATAAAGCAAGTGTACCTATTTTAATCTGGACAGTCTTGAAAGGGTGTTCTTCACAAGCAGTACATCTAAGAAAAGAATAAGGGTGGAGTGAGCGGCAGAAACTCTATACCAGGGGTCAGCAACCTGCGGCTCTGGAGCCGCATGTGGCTTTTTCACTCCTCTGCTGCGGCTCCGTTACTCAAAATATGTGTCACAACCGCCAATGTGCAACACCCATTGGCACGTGATTTATTGAGTTTCTCAACCCCTGGTAGGCCAACCATGGATAAATCCAAGAAAAGAAAAGTTTCAGAAGAAAACAGAACATTTAATTCATCTACATATGCTAGTTTTGTGGCCGCTCAAGAAATAGTCAGGCACAGGAAGGGTTTTGTGGCTCCCGGTGTTTTCTTTTCTTTGGGAAACGGCTCCAAATGGCTCTTTGAGTGTTTTAGGTTGCAGACCCCTGCTCTATACTGTAACAGGCAATGCTGCAGTGCTGTTCACTGTATATACACAGGCAACACAACATTCAAGAGAAGGCGAAGCAGAATCAACATAAAATAGCAACGACGTTCTATTTTGTTTCAAATTTCAATTCGCTTCTATTATTTTAGACTCAAGTCAAAATCAGGAAATGTTGCTTCTCAAACTGAAAAGTCTAAGATCCATTAGATCACCTGGCCCAAAGTTATTCACATTTTAAATATTAATAACACTGGAATTCAGCCTGAATTGCGCTTAGCCGCAGACCGAAAGTCACTACTGATCATGAGCATTGTGGAATACTACAACTATTTCAACAAGTTTTCAAACTGTGGTTTACCAGACTTTCACAACAAGGAAATCTAAGCAGCAGGTGAATCCTTTCTCAATTTGAAAAAGCAGTATTGGTGCCAGCATCAAGGGGAGCCTTGAATAACACTCCATCCAGACTCAGAAATACACAGACATGAAGATCAGAGGCACTTCTACCTCAAAATCCTAGGCTCCATTGTGCTCTTTTTTTGGGACTCTGTTCAAGCTCTTCTCTAAGTTTAAATAAAAAAGGAAAATGGTGCCCATGACTGGTAAAGAGCGGAAAGTGAAAAGTTATGTTCTGGAAAGGAATACACTGAAAGCACATCCCCATTATTGTGGAAATCCATTGGTACAGAAACGTCACCTGTTAAACTTTGGCCTGCCCTAATAGTGACACTAAAATAATAATAATAATAATAAAAAAGTGACATTCCCGGTTTCCTGAGGCAAGACGTGACGGTACGGCTGGCAATGGCAGCTGAAGACGACGGCGACCAAATGCGTGGACAGGACTCTGACGATCTATGAGGAGATGAGGGCGAGGCCCACCGTTCCCACTGCCTTCCTTCCCGGCCAGGGAAGCAACCACGCTTCTCCCCACAAACGAGCCTGGGCTATTTCGCCAGACGGGACTTCACGCACGGCTCCCGAGCGCCTCCCGTGCCGGCGAGTCCCCTCCCGAGGTAGGAGAGGAGGGTCCAGGGGCGTCTCCCTGGGCGGGGAAGCGCTGCCGGGGACGGCTAGCTCACTCGGCGCTCGGCTGGCCGTCGGGTCCATTCGGTAGCTCTTCGCCGTACGCACGTCCCGATTACAAGCAAGCGGGAGGAGGCGTTGAAGCGGCGGCGGCGGCGGCGAGGGCGGCTATCCGAGGAATGCGCTGAAGATGGCGGCCGGCCGGAGAGCGCCCAAGAGCGGCTTGCTGGAGCTGCGAGCGCCGGGCGAGCAGTGGCTGCGCGTCTTGGTGACTCTTTCCGAGGACTTCTTGAGCGTCGTCCCCAGCACCAAGGGCTCCGAGGAGCCGCCGCTGCAGCCGCCGCCCAGTCCCGTGCAGCTGAACGGCGCCGAGGCGTGCGCCCTCGTCCCGGACTCGCTAACCAACATCAAGCGCACGGTGCGGATCGTCAAGCAGGACGTGGGGGGGCTCGGCATCAGCATCAAAGGTAAGCGGGAGGGCGAGACGGGTCGGGAAGGCTGTCCCTTCGCCTCCATTGTTTTCCCTAGCAACTTTTTTTTTTTAAATCGCACTTTTGCTTTTCCTCCGCCGACCCCACTCGCGACCCCGCTTTCAACCTGCCGCTTCTTGACACGCCAAATAGCTGTGGGCCAAGCTACAGTACTGGATTCCCCTCGTAGTACAGTACAGCTGGCTGTTTCGTCCCCCGGACTCGGGGTTGGCTATTTTTGGGCACCCGAGATCTAGCGCTGCTTTCCTGTAGCGGGACCGGGAATCTCTCCAGAGTTAAAAGAGTTCTGCTATCTCCTTTTATTAGCCGCTTTTGATTTCCTGCAGTAAATGACCTTTGAAATCAGTTTCATTCCTCCCGCCTTAAGAAAAAGAAACCAAAACTCCAGAGGATGGGGAAAAGGAGAGGCGGAAAGTCCCAACAGAAGCTGACACGAAATTAAGGAATTTATTAATTGCAGTCGAGCTCATCCGCCCCTGAGGAACTGGAACTGTATTAAAGTTTGAAAGTCCCAACTTGGAAAGAATGCTGCATTCTTCTCTAAGCATGATCTTAGACATCTGCAAAGTGTATGGTTTGCAGACTAAAAATCCAGTCTGAGAAACTATGCAACATGGAAGAATAGATGGTGTAGTCCTCCTCCTCCCTCCCTCCCCCCACTCCCTCTCTCTCCCTCTCCCCCATCTCTCCCTTTTCCTCTCCTCCTCCCTCCATGCCTCCCTCCCTCTCTTTTCTTCTACTGGATAAATAAAGCTACCTCATCTTAATGGGCTTTGTCTTGAGTTTTTTTTTTTTTTAAATAATTTATATAATTCTTGGAATTTATGTAAATTTTGTTCTGCAGGATCTGATGTTTAGGTTCCATTTTTTAAACATAAAGGTTTTTAAGATGAAGGTTTTCAGAGTGAATTTTCTGGCTGGACTTGTGCATTATGGTAAAGCAGATACTACAGTAGCTTGTGGCTTAACATGCTGTGTGAATCCAGCATATCATATTTTATTCAATAAGCAAGAGCTAGGCATACCATAAATTAGCGCAATGCATGAACCAAGATTCTGCTTCAGTGCTGCACTGTGAAAGTCCAGGACTGCTTGCTGTTTACAGGTAGTCAGGTGTGGCCACCTACATTTCCCCGGATTCTGGATCCATAGGCTACAGTTGCTGTTGCTGTTACTACTGCCTCTTATGAATATGTAAATCCATAGTGTGTGTGTGTGTGTGTGTATATTGCTCCATTTGCAATGTTTGCCCTGACATCAAGTTCAAAGCTTAGTCCAGTGCTATGTAGGAGCTTCTTAAATATAGGAAGAACTTTTAAAGCTGGAACAGTATTAACAATGCAAATCCTATATATCCTATACCCAGTTAAGAATACACAGGATTACATATTAAAACTCCTAAGAGAACAGTTTATTTTGCACAACTAAGAAAAAAAATACAAATTGTCTACTTGCAGATGAAGTTTGAGAACAAAGAAATGTTAAGTATCCTTAATAGAGATTTAAATTACAAATTTATATACACTTGACTGGAAATATATTCCTTTAAATTCAGTATGACTGGCTTCTGGGTAACTATATAGCTTTACATTGCTGAAAGGATGAAAGAGGATCTCAAAAAAGCCCTGATACTATTTGTGTGTGTGTGTGTGTGTGTGTGTGTGTGTATGATGCCTTCAAAATTGGACATCCTAAAACCTCTGAAATTATCATATGAACCACATAGGTTTGGCCGTGTCAACTGAGAATTATAACAATAATAGACCAATATATTTGCAGAGCAATCGGTTTAGAGAAGGCTGGTCTCATGCTTTGGATACCACTTTTCAAAACCGTTGCTTGGAAGAGCTTTTTGCCATCCTGGGAGAAGAGAAGGTCACACTTCATTAGTCTCTAGCATGGCTCTTGTGTTCTTATTTCTTGTGACTGCTCATGTGGTCTAGAAAGCAGAAGAGGGTAAAATCAGATATCCAATGAATGTTTCTTTCATTTGAATGGAAAGGGTCAGAAATACAAAAGGCAACACATTTCTCCATGAGACTTGCACAGATGTAAAAGACAGAGGGCCTTGTCTATGGGTAACAGGTAGTATAGTAGAATAACTGGGGAGAATCGGATCTTCTCAAACATTGCTCTGTAAAGCATTCTGATGCCATGTTATCTTTGACCTTCAAATTGGGAAGGGACAGCACACCTTGTAGAGAAAAGGGGTTTTCATTTGCATGCAAGTGTCATGGGAATTGTAGAAAACAAAGTTATCACCACATCTATAAATAATACTCAGCCTGGTCGGTAAGTATGAATGGAAAGTGAGGGAGTCAGCCTTTTTCTGTCTTGTACATCTAGAGAATCTGGCTTCAGTCCATAAATACTTGCATTGCAATAAATTTCCTTGTCCTGAAGGTGCTATTAGGATTTGGGGGTGGGGGGGCATCTAATCTTGCTTCTTCTTTGTGTAATCTGATTAGTGACATTCCAGGATTTAAAGATTGTGCAGATAGACTCAATTAATGAAAACAACTAATTTGGGCTTTCTAGTTAGAAGAATATTAAATATGCAGACATATTCTATTCATTATGCAGATACTTTCAGGTAAGAGCTAAAAATAATCTACATAAAGTTTCAGATGTGCTATTATCTAATATTTTTATATCAGTCTTGTCCTTTGAAATCGCATTTGGGTTTACAGCTATACTTTTCTGTGGGAAAAGTTCTGTTTTTGCTTTTTTAAACAAAATAAAGGCAGGAGAATATACTCTGGATTATTGGGTTTGTATGTTTGTTCAGCCCCTGCAGAAATCAAGATGGGCAACTATATTTAGACTCATTGTTGATGATTGATTATGTGACATCACATTGTTTTTGACTCTTAGCAACCACATAGATATTCTCCATGATGACCTATCCCTAACTTGGTCCTTCACAGTAGTAACTGTGAGAGGGATCTTGGAATCCTAGTGGACAATCATTTAGATATGAGCCAGCAGTGTGCAACAGCTGCCAAAAAAGTCAACACAGTTCTGGGCTGCATAAACAGAGGGATAGAATCAAGATCACGTGAAGTGTTAATACCACTTTATAATGCCTTGATAAGGCCACATTTGGAATACTGCATCCAGTTTTGATCGCCACGATATAAAAAAGATGTTGAGACTCTAGAAAGAGTGCAGTGAAGAGCAACAAAGATGATTAGGGGACTGAAGGCTAAAATATATGAAGAACAGTTGCAGGAACTGGGTATGTCTAGTTTGATGAAAAGAAGGACTAGGGGAGACATGATAGCAGTGTTCCAATATCTCAGGGGCTGCCACAAAGAAGAGAGAGTCAAACTATTCTCCAAAGCACCTGAGGGTAGAACAAGAAGCAATGAGTGGAAACTAATTAAGGAGAGAAGCAACTTAGAACTAAGGAGAAATTTCCTGACAGTTAGAACAATTAATCAGTGGAACAACTTGCCTGCAGAAGTTGTGAATGCTTTAACACTGGAAATTTGTAAGAAGATGTTGGATAACCATTTGTCTGAAGTGGTGTAGGGTTTTCTGCCTGGGCAGGGGGTTGGACTAGAAGACCTCCAAAGTCCCTTCCAACTCTCTTTATTCTATTCTATTCTATTCTATTCTATTCTATTCTATTCTATTCTATTCTATTCTATTCTATTCTATTCTATTCTATTCTATTCTATTCTTCTATTCTATTCTATTCTATTCTATTCTATTCTATTCTATTCTATTCGTCTCCCAACAGTAAACTCATCACCTCTGTAACTGAGTCCATCCAGTTTGCTCCCCATCTTCTTCTCTTTCCTTCTACTTTTCCCAGCATTAGAGCTTTTTCCAGAGAGCTGGATCTTAAACTCATTATATTTAGGCTTAAAATGTATTTGTGAGATGTTTTGTGTGTGTAATACCTATGGCACAAAACGTCTGTTTTAAACTCAGTATGTTGGCTTCTAGAAAAACATAGTTGAGTGCCAAAGTCCTGGAAGGAATGTATATAAAGTGATGTAAATAAAGAGTCTTTTTTCAACAATAAAAAAATAAAACAAAATAAAACAAAAGCCAATACAGATATGTCTAATTCCACAATATATACATGTGATATAGTATAAGATTAAGATCAGTCAATCAAAATATAATAAAATACCTTTCAAAGCTTAAAAAACAATATTTCTCAAGTGAAGCATGTAAAATCTTATCTATAGTACAGTATTGTATCTGGAATGTGGATAAGTATTTTTATGTATTACTCAGGACAACATTTATTTTGTATAATTACTTCATCAGAAAAAAATGTTGTTTTGTACTTATCTCTATTTTCACAGCTGGATCATTCAAACTGCTTTTGTTTAGATATTCTTTTCCCCTGTAACAACTCCAGAAACCTAACTGAGTCTATCCTTAATTACCACCATTGCAAAAAAACAAAACAAAACAAAAACACAAAAAAGAAGGTACAAAAAATACCAGGGAAAGTTTGCATAGCACAAAACTTCTGTTTTCTTTCATATCTTTGTATGATATCTTCTTTAGTGGCTTTTATTTGGGTTTTATTTCTAGGTGGTCGGGAAAATAAAATGCCCATCCTGATATCCAAGATATTTAAAGGGCTGGCTGCAGACCAGACGGAAGCGCTGTTTGTAGGGGACGCTATCCTTTCCGTCAACGGTGGTGACCTGTCTGATGCCTCACATGATGAAGCAGTGCAAGCTTTGAAGAAGACTGGCAAGGAAGTGGTACTGGAAGGTAAGCAGAACCATTCTAAGGTGTTTGAAAGATGCTGAGCGACTCTCCCTTCTATTTCTGACATCACCCAACATTATGCTCTGGTTACCATGACCAATGATCACCAACAGGATTTTCTACTTTGCATTATTTCTGTGCTTACAGATAGCCACAATTGAGGCCGACATTTCTGTTGTTAAGTGAGACCTTTTTTAAGTGGCTTTTGCCCCATTTTACAACCTTTCTTGCCACAGTTGTTAAGTGAATCACTGCAGTTGATAAGTTAGTAACCCAGTTGTTAAGCGAATCTGGCTTCCCCATTGACTTTGCTTGTCAGAAAGTTGCAAAAGGGATCACATGACCTTGAGACACAGCAACGGTCCTAAGTACGAACAAGTCACCAAGCATCCGAATTTTGATCAGATGATCATGGGGCTGCTACAAAGTGTGAAAAATGGTCATAAATTACTTTTTTCAGTGTCGTTGTAACTGAATGGTCACTAAATGAACTGTTGTAAGTTTCCCTGCAGCCTCTCTGGCTTCTGATATGTCACTTAAATCTCAAGGAAGGAACGTGGAGGAAAATGTTTCTTTTTCCTTCAGTAATTATTGTAGTGTCACCTAAAATGGGAAGAAATTGTGACGTAATTATTTCTCCCCATCCCTAAAAATATCCATAAACCATCCAGCCAGTTTTTCATACCAATTTGATAAGGTCAAATTGATATGAACTTCATAAGGTCATTTGTGCTCAGTTCTAATGTTAATATTATTCCTAGCTTCCTTTCCTGCAAATTAGAAAAAGCAAAGGTCCTCTGATCCTTTAATTATTGATAAAGATGCATGAGGAATAGTAAAGCAAGATGATTACAGAGATGAGAACTCAGCAATTTAAAATATGGCAGATATTTTGGTCAAATCTAATCTGTCCAATCCCAATCAACTCAATCAAAACTGTAAGATCCTATACTGCCGTGATGGCGAACCTGTGGAACCCGCGTGCCGTAGGTGGCATGCGGAGCTATATTGCTGGGCATGCGAGGTCAGCTCCTTTCGGATGAAGTCGGCAAATGGGCCATTTCCAGCCTCCAGAGGGTCTTCTAGAAAGCCTCTGGAGCCTGAGGAGGACAAAAAAAGGGTTTACTGGGCCCATTGTGGCATCGCGTGCCAAAAGCGGGGTGTGTGTGTGGGGATCGTGTGCGCATGTGCAGGGGGCAGGGGGCATAGAATTATGGGTGTGGGCACACACAAACACACACACACCCCGCGCGCGCTCCCCACTTTTGGCACGTGATGGCAAAAAGAGTAGCCATCACTGCTATACTGCATTGTGACTGCCTGTCTGATTGTTGCTGTGTATTTTGCAGTTTATGTATCAATTCAGTTGCAACCTGAATGCAATTAAGAGTACCCAGCTTTTCCTAGAAATAGTCAGTACAGGCAGTTATTAGCAACTTCAAGAATTAAAACTCTGCCGTGTTTTGGATTTGAAGAATCTTTGGAAAAGATCTTCAGAATGTTGTGGAGGTAGGGAGAAGGAGCTCAGATAGCCCACATCTACAGTGTCTTAAAGCAGATGCAACTTTTCATTGGATCACACAAAGACAATACAGCTACAGCTCAATCTGGTAAAAGATGTATTGGATCTAAGGAGTTGCAGACTGATGCTACATACCCTGCACAACCCATGACACTCCCCCCCCCACCCCTTTTGAATGCAAAATGCTGTGTAACCCTAGACGGATAAATCTTATCTCCCTTTGGATTTGAAAAGTGGTTATATTGACCTTTGAATGTGGCAGTATAACTCACATGCTCATCAGTTCTAGAATAGCCTGCTGTAATGCACTCTACATGGATCTACCCTTGGAAGCTAGCCACAATTGATAAGAATGCACTGGCTAGCCTTTTAGTGGGTGAGAGCCATTGCAACTATTTAACACTGATTCTACAGAAATGCATTAACTTCCAGTAAGTAAAGTCCAAGAGGTGGGTTTTAACTTATGTTAAAGGTCCTTTGGGCTCAATACCTGCACATATCCAGCAGTGGTGAAATCCAATTTTTTTTACTACCGGTTCTGTGGCTTGGTGGGCGTGGCAGGGGAAGGATACTGCAAAATCCCCATTCCCTCCCCTCCCCAATCCTGGGGGAAGGATATTGCAAAATCTCCATTCCCACCCCACTCTGGGGCCAGCCAGAGGTGATATTTGCCGGTTCTCTGAACTACTCAAAATTTCCACTATCGGTTTTCCGAACTGCTCAAAATTTCCACTACCGGTTTTCCAGAACCTGTCAGAACCTGCTGGATTTCACCCCTGATTTCCAGCATCTTCTCCTTCAAGCAGAACCATCTAGCTGGTCCATCTACATCATGTTGGGATGCTGATTCCCTTCTCCGTGCGTGTAATTCAGACAGAATTACAACAGATAGAAGACAATGTTTTTCTATTGTTGCTTCTTTGAACACCTTGTACACACACACACATACCCAGGAATCTGGATGGCGCCTCTCTTATAATGCTTAGAGAGGCAGTCAAGGCAATAATTCTTCATGGAACTTTCAATTTTTAAAATTGCTTTTGAATATTAGAGATGGATCAGTTGATAATTTTATCAATTATACATATGTGCCATTGATTTTACCTGGTTATATTGTAAACCACCAAGAATGTTTGTGGAGTGTGGTAATAAATATAATGAAGTAGGTAAACAAATAAATATCAGCCATCTGCTCTTTCCTAGAAATGTATACTTCTATCTCCTATGATAGTTTAATTGCAGATGTGGTCTGGGATCTCTCGTCCTCAATGGAAATAAAATATACCAACTCAACATCTATGCAAGAGAAAGAATAAAATACAGCTTTGTTCTTATTCTTAAATCAACTTGAACGGTAGCTTTTGTTATATATGGAACACCAAATTTAGCTGAAGAATCACCTGGCTGCAGCAGAAACATTTCTTTTTTTCATTGTAGTAGTTAAGATCACATCGCACAGTTGCATTCTATGACGGTGTTTTAGCCTGGCACAGCTCATTGGCTTCCAGTCTTCACCCACAGTTGTTCAAATTCAAAAGACTAGTGGTCAGAAATTCAGGGAGAGAACTGTAATTTTATTACAGATAAAATTACAGATAATTTTATTACAGATACTAGAAAAGCAATAATTAACAGAAAACTATCAACTGCCAACTGTGAGCTTATATATGTGTCTGTGTATCTGTGTATACCAAGTTTTCCTGAAAATAAGATCCTGTCTTATATTTTTTTGAACCTTGAAATAAGCACTTGGCCTTATTTTTGGGGAGATCTTATTATTTTGGGGCACGTGGAGCAAGATGGGGGTCTTCTTGCCATCTTACCAGATTTCCAGCTCTGCGTTTAAATATTTTCGGGGAGGGCTTATTTTGGGGGGGAGGCTTATTTTAGCGCATGTGTTCAAAAGCCCGATTGGGTTTATTATCAGCGGATGTCTAATTTTCTAATATATATATATTATGTTATGTTATGTTATGTTATGTTATGTTATGTTATGTGTTTGTGTTATGTTATGTTATGTTATGTGTTATGTTATGTTATGTTATGTTATGTTATGTTATGTTATCTTATCTTATCTTATCTTATCTTATCTTATCTTATCCTATCTTACACACACACACATATACTAGTCCCAAGACTTTTGTTTTTTCCTACCTGTGTATCCCAAGAAGCTGAGAGCCTATTATTTGTCAGGAGGAAGAAATTGACATCTTTGTACAGGTAGTTTTCATTTACTGACTGCCCTGTTTAGTAACCTTTCAAAATTACAAAAACTGGAAAAAAAGCTTTCCAGCCAATGCCTACTTTTTTTTAATCTTTGCAGTGTTCTTCAGGCACATGACCACCATTATAGTCACAACAGTATGCCTAGACCTGTGTCTCATCTTTGGTTTTTTCCCCCTCCATCTTGCAAAGCAGAAAGATAGGAGAGGAAGGGATTACAAGAGAATAAGCAAGCATACCATGGGGAGTATACATCAAAATCAATGTGTTGGTTCTGTCAGCCTCGAACCAGATTTATTGATTCTAGATATTTGGAAATTACCAAAATTACTTGATCAGAATATATGTAACTGATTACTGGAAATATATTTTACAGAGACTTGAGTTTAGTAACTCCTATTATTTGGGTAATGGGGTGGTAGGGGAAGTATGGATTAGCTACTTCTGTCAAGCAGGAAGTTGTGTCTGCTGAAATTTATCTGTCATTTTTGGGAATTGTAAGCTATTACAAATAATTATACTTACCTGGAGAGAAAGTCTAGTATTTTCTGAAATATTTAGGCCACTATTTCTCTTGTGTACGCAAATACCTGGAAAATTATAAATATACTGGACGTGCCCATAATACAAATTTATATTTATGTTATGCAGTCAATTTGGTTTAATACTTGAATAACAAAAAAATCATGAAGAGACATCCAGTTTTTTTCCAAAAGCTTGTCTTGTACAATCATGAAAACTTGATAGATGTCATCTTCACTGCCTCCTCTTTCTCCTTAACTCCAAGAAACTGAAAAGAAAGAAAGTGGCTGTTATTTCAGAAAGACAGTGGAATTTTTTTTCTCTATGGAGTTGAGACTGGATCTACAAGTATCAACATTTCTTGTAGAATCTGACATGAATAGTATTATTTTCTCAGTGGAAATGGTGTGGTTTATAATTTCAGCCCTAGGAAAAATAGATACTCCTCCTGAGATTGGGGACACTGTTCAATGCAATAACTTGTCAAATTCCTTGATGTGTCTCAAAATAAAAGGGAAGGAGAAGGTGATGTCAAGTTCCTGAAGTCTGAATCTAGAAGAGTGTTTTTGATATGAATCTTCTTACAAGGAATCAACATCTTTACCACACCCCTAGCTGAAAATCTCAATATAGAAATGTCTGTTTATCATATCTAGTTAAAACAAAATAGATTTGATTTTAAAATATCTGGATCTCTCCCATGTTTAAGAAACAGTTTGCAGTGCCATTTTGTGCA